CTTTGTAGAGTCATCCTACCCTTAAGCAGGCCGACACTCCCACCCCACTTGGTGTCACCTGCAAACTTACTGAGGGCACACTCGATCCCCTCATCCAAGTCACTGATAAAGATATTCAAGAGAACTGGCCCCAGTACTGAGCCCTGGGGAACACCACTTGTGACTGGACACCAACTGGATTTCACTCCATTCACCACCACTTGCTGGGCACCGAAATCCAGCCAGGTCTTTACCCAGCAAAGCATACACCCATTCAGGCCATGAGCAGCCAGTTACTCCAGGAGAATGCTGTGGGAAAGTGTCCAAGGCTTTACTGAAGCCCAGGTAAACAACATCCACAGCCTTTCCCTCATCCACTAAGCGGGTCACCTGTTCACAGAAGATCAGGTTTGTCAAGCAGAATCTGCCTTGTGTGAACCCATGTTAACTGGGCCTGATCACCTGGTTGTCCTGCATGTGCCGTATGATGGCACTCAAGATGAGCTGTTCCATATCCTTCCCCAGCACCGAGGTCAGACCGACAGACCTGTAGTTCCCCACATCCTTCTTCCTGCCCTTCTTGTGAATGGGCATCACATTTCCTATCTTCCAGTCAACTGGGACCTCCCCGATTACCCAGTACTGCTGATAAATGATAGAAAGTGGCTTAGTGAGCACTTCCACCAGCTCCCTCAGTACCCTCGGGTGGATCCCATCTGGCCCCAGAGACTCGTGTGTGTCTAAGTGCTGTAGCAGTCACTCACCATTTCCCCTGAGATTATGGGGGCTTCATTCTGCTCCCCATCCCTGTCTTCCCACTCAGGGGACTGGGTGCTCAGGGTAAAACGCTGCAAATGCTCACCAGCCTCACCTCGTCACTACTGAGAAATGGCACGCCCTGGTACTAATGAATATTTTCACTCTGAGGACATTGACAAGCACCATCCACAGGACATCTGCACTGTGACACCTCTCCCAGTCACTGCTACGTTTTGACTAGGATTTACAGTCTGAATTAAATGGAATTTCCTCTGTAAGCTCCTGCAAATTACTTATGTTCTGAAAACTATGACCTGTGGGAATTAGAAAAGGTAACAACACTACTTAAAAATAAAATATCACAAGCTGAATAATTTTTCAGTGACATACTTTGGTCTCAATGGAGCATTAAATAAAATTTCTACACCAGTCTAAAGAGCACACCACGATGCATGACAGAGTGGTTCTCCCACAGCTTATCTTCAGGTTAGAACACAGACATCCTACTGAAACCATTTATTTGTGCACACTATTTACTCTGAGGTTTAAAAAAAATAAAATAAAATCTAGGCTTCAACACATACTCATCTTCAAATCCTCTCCCCCCAAAATGCAAACAGAAATGGCCTTTGTAAAGGGTAGATGTAACTTAGGTCACTAGAAGATTTACAGAGGTTACAAGTATCACAAGTTCAAATCAGTTGCAATAAGCCCTGACTTGATTTAAACTCCTCAATTAAAATCAGCTAAACCAGGATTGGGCATTCTACCTCCATCCAGCCCTCACTTCTTGTGCCACCTTGTAGCTTTGGTCTTTTATTTCTGGTTCATATCACTAGCAACACCAATTAATAATAGTTTTCCAGAGCACTAACTTCTGAGGATTCAAAATGTGGCCATAAGGGATCCTAAAGCACATTGGAGGAAAACGGGGTGTGCGTACAGCAATGTTGTGCACTCGGGTGCTGGCTGGGCAGCACGCTGCCCGGGCATCCCAAACCCAACGGCATGGCTTACTACCACACCGAGGTTTGGGGGATTTATTTTAACATTGCAAGGCTTTATGTTTTGGATAATGTGGGCGCAACACTAGCAAACAACCTTTATTTTAACCTGCAGAAAAACTGATGGTGGGGTTCTCTCATCGGGGAAGTTTTGCAACACTTGTAATCTGTTTAGAATACAGCAAAACTCTTTTAGACTTAATTTAAAATATCAATTTATAGAGCACTGTGAAAAGTCACATGGAGACTTCGCATAAGCTGCATGTAAAAAATGCAATTACAATTTTTTTCATGCAAAACTGGAGAAGACAGTATCAATGCAGGTCTGAGCACTGTCTCAGTCTGTGTACTTCACTGGCAGCGTGACCGACCACGCTACAGAAGTCCCTGTAAGGGACAGACCTGGCCTTCTTCCCGGCAAACAGTGCCCAGCACTGCCTTGGAAACACACTTTATGAGTAGAAAAGGGTGGAAAGCAGAGAGAAAGATTCTTTGACTACTAACAAAGCGAAATACTAAGATTAATAGCAACCTTAATGCAACACAGAAGAACAGCAACTTGAAAAAAAAATTGTTGAATGTTTTAATGCATTTTGAATCATAATGAAGAAAAACATTTTACATCTAAAAACAAATTAGCAGAATAATAAAAAGTGGTTCCACATAACTTATAAATTCTTTTTCCAAAAAGGTGGTTTTCACAGATTTAGGCAACAAAGATGTTTCATTCCAGATCTTTCTGATTGCAAAGTATACACAGACTTTGTGAAAACTGATGTGCGTTGCTTGAGAGAAAGACGTAAAAGCTTGATTTTGCCCAGTGATGAGTTTTCTGTGAAATTCTGCACAATACTGAAATTGTAACTGCAACTTTCCTCCATTTTATGAAATGCTGGACATTGTTCAGTGCTGAAAAACCCTCTTTAGAACATTCAAAGACATGAAATGTTTTCTACGTATTTAGCCACTACCGCTGCTCATGTGTGATTTGCTTCAAGGGGAATAGCAGCCTCAGCTTAACCTTCCGTATAGTATATAAAATTAAGATAAGTGATAGTTAAGTGTTTAGCTGATTAAGTATTAGCCTGCTCATAAGAACGTGGCTCTAGCACCTTGTTTGGTTGATTTTTTTCAACGTGAAAGCATGTAATCATCCTAGTCCTGGTGCCAGAGGATTGTCCCCTCTGGTGATACAAAAAGTTTGCAGCAATGATGATTAAACTGCATAGAGTCTAACTGGTCCTGTATCACGTATGTGTTCGAGAAGCTTAAACAGACAGTTTAGTTTAGCAGGACCAAAACCAGCGACCCTCTCCCCTGCCTCAGGTAATAAAAGGATAGTCGTTGCTCAAGATACTATATGCAGGCTGTGCTGCAGAAACTGCTTCTACTGGCTGGAGAGACATTCTTCTGTTTTTTAAACAGCATCAACCCATGTAAAGTTCTCTCTGCTATCAACTAGAAGAAAACGTGAGTCTTCTTTTCTTAAAGAATAAAACCCGCAACCCAACATCAAATGGCTTTACCCAAGAGTTCAAAACCCCGACACAAAAAAAAAAAGTGAAAATAAACTTTGACACGATCCTTCAACCTTCGTTACCAGAAGAATTCAAATTCTGCAGCTGCTTTCTGCAACCTCACTAGTTTTGGTATTTTAAGATTACTTCAGTATAATTCTGTGTATTTCTTATATTAAAAAAAAAAAAAGGAAAAAAATAACCACCAGAAAAAAACAAGGTAACAATCTGTATGATGACCTGTACTATAAAGATACTAACATACACTCTCCATTAAATACCTTGAGCTTCCACAATGTTATGCTTCAAAACCATTTTTAGGACCCCAGTTCCCCTATGATTACTCAATGATGCATTCACCATCCTATCCCATCGCACTCCAACGCACTTATACATTAGTTAACATGAGAAACAGTTAACACATCTGCCTTAATGTCATTATAAACAGTGCTGTAGAGGACATGAGCACAGCTATAGTTTCACAAAATCATTATCATGAGATAAAAAGCTCCTAATACTTATCTTATGCCAACCCTCCATAAACTCCACGGTTCCCCCGTAAGAGTGCACCCTTGGCTTACCCTTCACCCTTCATCTTACACGGTGATATGTCAGACAGTTAGGGGCAGCGTCTCCCTTTAGCTAAAAAGAAGTGTCTGTCTGAAGCAGCCTTTTTGTTCTTTTGAAGATGTCAGCTGCCACATGCATTTATTTATATAATCGGCAGCTGTGGTGTAAGATCTCACTGCCAGTGCAAAAAAGGCTAAGCACAGTGAGGAGGAAAACCAGAGTAAGATCATTTGGGAGAAAGAAGGGAGACCTATGTTAATTACCCCCTTTTGGAACAGAACAGAGACTGCAGCAGTGCTTGCCGCAGCTGACAACAGAAAGGTGACAGATGATGTTTACTTATTGTATTGCTCCATTAGATTTAAGTGTTAATTATTTTGAGGATCACATTTAGTATGATTGTCTTTCCTCTCATGTCAGAAATAATACTTCAGCCAGAGACCAAAAGTGCTTTTTTCTAAGCTACAGAGAGATTCAATGCATCTTGACCAACATTCATTTCTGAGGTAGTACTCATTTACTGTGTATTGCTGGCTCAAAATAAAAATATGGGAAGTGAACATAATTAAAAGTATGCTCACTGTAGGTATATTTAAAAAAAAAAACACAAAAAAAAAAAACCAACCCCAACAAAAAAAACCCCCCAAAAAACTATTTCCTTTCTGGGCAGATCACCAAAAAGATGCAATCCTTCTTACAAAGGTCAGCTCACATTCACTGGTAAAGTCAAACTTTCATAAATGGTTTATAACAATAGCTATAAACTAAAGTGCTTCAAAATTTGCTTGACTGGATTTCAGTGATTAGAATCATAATATTCTGGATTTTTGCTAGTATGAAATGCCATGAAATTTTAGAATCACTTTATATAAGATGGGCAGAATGAATATTATTCTTTTTCAAAAGAAAAAGTACAAAAAGCATTCCGAATAAACCCGGCAGTCTACACTTACTACAACTTGCTTGTGTTTTCCTTCTCAAATCTACTACTTCTCCAGTAACTGGAATAAAAATGGAATTGAAGTTGCACTATACTGCAGCACTAAAAAAGTATTCCAAATCAGATGCAAACAGGAAAATGTTTACAATCATACAACTAGTGAAATTCACACTTCATTTCAAAGTTTTAGCCCTGCAGAGTCTTTTTAACACAAGGCAGATATGTAGAGTCATGGAAAAACGTAACAGACTGCTATACACTCTCTACATTAATTACAGAAGTTTCACATTTATGTCACAAGTGTAATGCCCTACTGTGTATCTAATAAATGCTAAATAACTTATGAACATTTATGTGCTCTATGCAACAGTGAACATATTGACCAGTGGATGACAAAATATAAAATTTCATACACAAGACAAACTAATTTTAAAAAAATCACATTTTCTGTACAATTCATGCAAACTGTGCACAATGTGGTAACAAGAACAACATTTGCTGAAGTCTCCACTTAAGGAAGAGCTTTTACAGCGATAGCAGACCAGTATTCAGAAAAGTCTGCAAAAGTGTCGAAGTCCATGGCAACATAAAATGCAAAAATTCTTCCAGCATTTCATTTTTCTTGTAACAAAGCAGGGATGTTGATATTCCAGCCAATAGCCTGACGATCAAATCCACATGTGAAGAGGTTACATATTGGATGGTCCTCACTCCACGCTGTGCAGCACACCATCCTTCTGTGGCCCTGCAGCAGTTCAGGAGATAACAGTTATCACTTACGATATATTTTGAAAGCTTCAATGTCAACAAGTTAGTGCAACTCGAAACGCAAACTTGGCTAATGCTCACACCAGTTTTTACAAACGGTACTTGAGGTAATTGTTACTTTCATCTGCAAGGGAAAAATCTTTATAGGGATGGAACTCCTTAATTGCCAGCACCGGGTCCATAATGACAGAAGCATACAAACAGGTGCATCAAAACTTTTGCATTTTCCAAGGTATGTTTGCTGTCTAATTACATTTTATTTACAAAAGCAAATCGCATTTTGATTTTAGCACTTCTATTTATAAAAGCACTCTTAAAATATGGAACTACTTGCTGGCAACTTCTTTGTTATAAAATGCAAGATCAAGTGTCCATCCCGTTCATAATTCAGAAGGGATAATACTACAAGCAGGAGGAATGTCATATTGAGGAAAAGCAATGCCTTATCTACTGTTCAAATCCAGCAGTTTAGAAAAATGCCCCAAGGACTCCTCTGACCAACACTTAGGTTAAAAAAAAAAATTGACATGATTTCAGTAGTGTCAGCCTGAATGGAAATATTAAAGAAAAAAGAAAAAATCAAGACTAAACAATAGACTAAAAAAACCCTAACTAGAAAAAGGTTAAAAAAGACTAAGTAAGCCTTAAAACCCTTTCCTAATTTCTGTCAAGAGCTGCTGAATTCACCCAAAGACGACGACTGAAGTGGCATAATCCAATTAACTTCACTTAGTCTAATTTGCTCTATTAGTGATGCTTGCCATGCCAAATAGCACCACAAATGCACAAGATGGCTGCAGCAAGGATGGTTTACTACTTGGTACCAAATACCAAGAATTTTCTTCCCTGCATAATGCTTATGTCCATAAGCAGAGAATTAAAAAAAATTATCACCAAACTATACAAGGTGAGCTCACAAAACCGACCCCCACTTTCTTCCTTTTATGTTTCTTTATGTAACAAATTTAAAATTGCATCATTAAAAACCAAAACATCAATCGTCATAATGAGTCACTTTTCTGATATGATTCACATCAAGACATTAAAACACATTTTAAATGCTCTTAGACATTTTTTCCATGTCATGGAGAAGGCAGACATTAGTTTCACTTTAGTAAGGAGAAAAATTATGATGAAATCCAGTTGAAACCAATTCCAATTAAAAAATTCAAAATACGTTACGTATTTGCATGTTGGTGATTTCAGTAACTAACAGCAGCATATTTGAATAGACAAGTGCCTTTCAGCATTTTTCCATCTTTTAAACTAGAGAGACCAAATCCTAGTTTTAACCTTGTACGAAAGAAGAACAGACATACTTTAAAGCTATAAATATTCAGTTACCTGTCTATTACTGCGAGGGAGGCGTGCTAATCGTACTCCTGACATGTCAAATAATCTAACCTGTCGGTTGTCATGCGGAAGGGCAATGATTCTTTGGCCGACACATACGTTAATCCTGCACAGAAGAGACAAAAGTAGGTTATGTACAAAACAGTGAGCCTGGCAAATAGAACTTGGCAGTAGAAGTTTAAGCTCACGAGAAGTGACAGAGCTGATTTTTTCCTGATTAGAATTCACAGGTGAAAAAAGAAAAAAATTATTAAACCATTAAGGTGTTTTCTATTGTACTAGATGCATAAACAGCCTTAACATCTGCAACCCATATAAGAAATCTCAGAAAAGCAATATGATGTATTTACTAAAAATTAATGTTGACTATAGCTGCATTTTATAAAACCACTTCAGACCTTTTTCAACATCTCATAAATCTGAACTTTAATTTTAGTGACTAAAATTAAATGTATATTCAGTGAACTAAGAAAAGTAGTAACTCAGATCTGCTTACCTGTTGACTGCAGAATCTGTACGGATGGTTGCAATAGGAGACCTCATGTTTTTCAAATCCCAAACTTTTACAGTGCGATCATCACTACCAGAAACAACATTGTCTCCCACAGTGAAAACTGCAGATGTCACAGTGCTAAACAATCAGGAGTAAAAAGAAAGATGTCAAGCTCTGAAGTTCTTTATTAAACTAGTATCTGATTTAAAGTTCTATTTTCTGTTCCTGTGTTTCCTTTAAAATATGTAACTTGCCTTTTGGTTTTTTTCTTTCTTTCTTTTTAAACCAAAGCAACCTGAAATATTAAAACTCCAAGTGGGTATTTCAGAATAAATAATATTCTTACAAGAAGCTGTGTCACTTAAGGTATACAGGGCTTGGTGGTAGTGCCAGGGAAAGAAGCTGAACAGTGAAGAGTCACTCTGGAGGCATCTCTCATATTCCACCGATCCTAACATGAGCTAAACATGTCCAGTCTTGAAACTTAATTCACTTTTGAAGTTCCATATTAATGTTTATGGCTTATCAGACAACCAAAACTGAATCAGTAGCATACAGTACAATTCTTCCTCTCAAGTGCTTTGAGACAAGTAGTCAAGTTCCTTTATTCTCCAAAGACTTCTGTAGAACTACCTCAGGCATTTGTCATTTACAGCACAGACTCTGAGGAGATCCAAAATACCTGACCTGAGATGTAGCTAAAGCTGTTTTGTACACACACCTACACACGCTGTAATACATACACAGAGCTTCCAGTATAACTCCACTAGCAATAGCTACAGCAATCTAACAATTTCTAATTGTGACTTCCCATTTTACAAGTAGCTAAAGTCTGAGAGTCAGACAAAAAAACGGCAAGCAGTAGTAATACAAAGTATGACCAGACAGTTCTTCAAATTTTACCCATTACATTCATAAATGCATGCAGGCAGCCAGAGAAAGACTCCCAAGACTATTTCCAGCAACTGGAAGAACTGGAATAATAAATATATTACTTTCAGAAGATATTATACATAGAATTTTATTTTCTTTGTAATTTATACTTTCAGAGAACAGTATACTGCTGAGGTCATATGAATAGTTCTCATGATGAGGTGATTTTTTAAAAATCTTTTACCTATTATTTCATATTATCCAATTAAAGTTTTTGTACTACTATTTTCATTTCAGAACCACATAAATTCTCAACTCGAAACCAGTTATTTTCTGACCACACAATGTACTAACAACGCATTTTTGTCTCTCCCTAAAATCGTTAGAGAAGGCTTCTCAACTCTGTTTCTACAGATTTGATTTAATGACCTATCTTGTAACTTGGGTCATGCACATCAATTTCTTAGGATTTAGTAATTTTAATTTAAGTTGTCAGTTGTTACTGTCACTTCGGTTGTTCTGCAGAAATTTGAATTCATGTCCTATCCAAGCTGCTGATTGAGATTAGCACTAGCCAGGTCACAACGGACCAGTTTATGCAAGCCTCTTAATTTAAATTGACACCAAATTAAGCTTTAATTAGGATGAAGGCCCACTTTATTCATGATACCAAGTTTCCTAATGCCTTATTAGAGTGCAGCTAAGCTACTAGGGAGATGATTACAGTAAGAATCAAGAGGTCTTCGCCTAATCTTCTGGACTTTATGAACCAGAAGTCAAAAAGTTAAAACATACACGAAGGCCACAACTGATGAGGTCTCTTTCATCAGGCACCTTTGCATTTGAGAAGAAAACTCATTCACATAGTCAAATTACTGCAGAATAGGGTAGGTGTGTTTTTAGCACAGAACTTGTCTTCCACCTGCCTGACCTCCATTAAACTTACTGATGCCTGAATTTCTCTCCTCACTAGCTCTTTATGCAAGCTGCAAAATAACTCTGTAAATACTGCAAAATACTCCATACTGCCGTAACCCATTTGAAAAAGTGTTGGTTTTAAGTTTAAAATTTTCTATTAAATCTCCATACATTGCACATACGTTGGGAGACTTCCTTGTACACAACACTATGAGGAATTCAAGTCATAGAAAAGCTCCAGGTGACTGAATACAAAGTGCTTTAGCATTCTGCTGCCAACACACAGACCTGATCACTTTTTCCCTCGTACATTTTATCCTAATTACAGGTGGAATATGTTGTGAAACTGTCTTAAAATAACCCTCCAATTTTGGATGCTTTTTTCCACAACTTTAAACACTTTCCAGCTTCTTTGGTCTCATATTGGTTCGCTTTATCACTTATCACTGTCAAGTATAGTTATTTCTTTGGCCACGTAAAATTCTCTCATTCTTAGATTTACCACCTTTCAAAACTTTTGAAACTACTGCCATGCAAATGGAATGCCAACTATAGGTTAGCTTGACCCTTTCCGCTCCTGTAAAAACGAGAAGATTCTCAAAACAAAATCCTTTTCTGTACTGCTTTCAGTTTAACTATTCATTCAGAAATTACTGGCTACACTAAAAAAAAAGGTTGTAAAATAAAAATGCAATGAAGTTCTGCTGTAGCTCTCTCTGGTGACTAGGCAAGCAATAGAAAGGCAAAGGGAAGGCTGCTGAGCCATTTTCAGTGACATCTTTAAAGGTGTTTCACAGTCTGAGTCCTCTGCCTACCCACCCAACAGTCCATCCCTGTAAGACACTGCAGGCTGTGATACGCACTTTTTGCAAGCACACCTAACTACAAAACCAGCCTTTTTCATAAGGAGCTTTAAGCCCAAAGGATAGATATAAAAGCACTTTTTACTGAACCCACTGTTTATGATCAAGAATTTTGGTCCCACTTTCAAAGCAAACAGTATATGGATGTACTGCATAACATTCCTAGATATTGTGCGTTAAAAAAAAAGAAATATTACTCTTCTAGGGGAACCTATAGATACACTTGATTCAATTGTCAAAAATATCTCATTTTCAAAATAATACTGCAAGCCCAGAAGTTTTAAGTAACTTAATACCAAGTCTAGAAAGGCCAAAAGCAGAATCATTCTCACAAACTTGACAATTCTGGGAAGGGTTATCAGTACTTAATTGTAATCTGAGTAAAGATCAGGTAGGTTATTTTGGGGTTTGTTTGTTTGGGGTTTTTTATTTTTTTTAAGTGGAACATATTGAGTTGATATTTAAAAACCACATACATTTAAATTCAAGAATATATACAATACCACTGACTTAAGAAAACATGAGCAAGTGCTGTGCTCATAGGTTTTCTTATACACCACAGATCATGCTTTGTCTCCTCTGCTATTCTAATCTGGAATGTCTCTTAAGATGAGACAGATGCATCTCATCTTGGGTTTTGGGTTTTTGTTTTAGTTAAGGGAAAATAGCAACAAGAAGAAAGACTACTTCCTACTTATAAAATAAAATAGGATTTCAGCCTATTTTATTTCAGCCTCAGGTGAGAAGAAAGGGAAGCAAAGTCTGTGGGGGAAGAAAGAAGTTGGCAGAACAGCCAATATACAAATAACCTTTCAAAAGTTTGCCTCCCTAACCCCACCCACATGACAAAAATTAGAAGACCTCTTTCTGCATTTTCATGGGGCTAGTTTTACTTTCTGTTTAGACTAGTCCTCAGTTTGTTATAACCCAGCAAAACCTGTGTTTAACATCCCCTTGGCTAAATTAATAAAAAGCGTCAACAAAAGATCATCAGACCCTATGTTAATGGAATGCTAGAAGACATTAGGATTTTAATAACTCAAAAAGATGACAGATATTGTAGGACACAAAAAAAAAAATCTGGCAAAAAGGAAGCAGTCTTATGACACTTCAAACCGTGGGTCCCACCGGGAGTTTGGTGCGCTACAACTATTCTCCAGAAAAGCTTCAGCCTCCGCCAAACCCCAGCAAAACTCATTTATCTTGTCGTAGGGAGCAGCCGAGCGTGTACTTCCAGCTGACAGCGTGGCACTTCCTCACCACACACCACTGCCTGGCCTCGAACATCCTGCTCCCTCCGTGGGTCTCAATCAACAGAAATACTGTAGCGCTAGCACTCCTCATTAGGCTGAACAGCTGTCTCCCCAGTCACACTGAGACACAAAACTGTTTTGCATAACAATCTGCTGAAATTTCACACATAGGGGAGGGAAGGGGAAGAAAAAAAAAAAAATGTTGAAAAACTTGGACCATAAAATGCTGATGCAGAACCCTTATTGGCAATGCACCAAAAAAAAGTTAACACTGCTCTTTCCATTTTGATTTGCAAGCTATACTAGGATTTACCATCGAACATTGGGAGACAACATGCTTTTGTGCCTGTCCTACTCATAAGCATTAATCTGTGTGTGGGACGAAGTTCTAGAGAAAATGGACTAAAACAGAGTTTTCATATAAATTTGTTCCATGTACACCAAAATGTAGTTAAACAGCAAAATTTGAGTGCTCAAATATGCCTCTCTCATTTTAAGTAGTAAAATTTGAGAAACAAAACCTAAAGGAAGCTGTATTTGGGACAGCATTTCCTGTACAAGTTTCCTTTATTTCAGAGGAACAAAGTGTATACCCACACAGAGCAGTCCGCAGCCTGTAGGCAAGCCACGACCTGGGATTAAAACCTCCAGATATGGACAACAGTTCGCCCATTTTAAAGGGCAAAAGCTCTGGCCACAGGAGTACCAGGTAAGGAGCCCACTAATACCTCCACGTCTGATTGTGTATTCAGGTTTTAGAAACGCTAAAGGCACCCGATTCCACAAAGAGCTACACATACAATTCATAAAGTCTGGTGGTGAATTTATCTCCAAATATCAGCACAACTTTTTCCTCCAAATTGAGAAACATTAAGACCAAACCATGAAGGAATTAACACAAAACAGGGAGAGGGGAAATTCAGAGATAACTGTTCGCAGTGAAAAGTCATTTTTTTAGCATTTAAATCAACAATTTCTATTCCAGATATATGTGTTTCATGACATTTAGAGAAAATTGCCAGTATCTCCTTTTCTCACTATCTGTCTTAAAATAATAAAATGATACAAGATTGAAAACAATCACTAGCTTTTTTGAGACTTACTCAATGGCAAGTTAGTAAATTAGTTAAGGTGCAGATATCTTTAAAATCAATTCCATTACATTTATGATGGGATTAAAAAAGGTCCATTTATCCCTGTAGTATTGCTGCATATGTTACGTAAGCTTCAG